ATGCCTGGCATTGACCCAAACTTCATCTGTCACCAACTGAGCGTCCACCCAATAGCTAAACCAGTTACACAGCGCACTCACAGATCAGCACTCCACCATGCCGAGATAGTGGCGGAAGAAGTGGGAAACTTACTGGAGACAGGAGCAATCAGAGAAGTGCACTATCCTAGGTGGATCTCTAATACCATAGTAGTGCCAAAGAAGAAAGAAAAATGGCGTGTCTACGTAGACTACAAAACAGTCAACAAGGCATGCCCAAAGGACAATTTTCCCCTACTACGGATAGACCAACTAGTAGACCTGACGGTAGGACACAATCGACTTAGCTTCCTTAATGCGTACAGAGGTTACCATTAGATCGCTATATATGAACCAGATCAGGAGGTCACATCCTTTACAACGCCTAGAGGATTGTATTGTTACAAGGTCATGCCCTTTGGCTTAAAAAACGCAGGGGCAACATTCCAACGGATGGTCACCAAGATGTTTAAACCATTGTTAGGCAGAACAATGGAGGCTTACATAGATGACATGGTGGTCAAAAGCAAGGATGAGAAGGACCATCTCAAGGACCTAGGTGGAATGTTCCAGATTCTGAAAAAGAACAAGTTGCGCCTAAATGCATCCAAGTATGCATTCAGTGTAGGATCAGGTAAATTCCTAGGCTTTCTAGTGACCAACCGAGGTATAGAAGCAAACCCTTCTCAGATCAAAGCAATCCAGGATCTAGAGAGGCCCAACACAGTAAAAGAGGTGCAGCATCTAACTGGCCTAGCTGCCGCACTCAACCGGTTCATAAGTCGGTCATCAAACAGATGTCGACCATTCTTCCAAGCATTAAAGGCCAAATTTGAGTGGGATGAAGAATGCGATCGCGCCCTAGAAAGCTTGAAAGAGTACATGTCTTCTCCACCATTACTAGTAACCCCAATAGTTGTAGAAGAGCTCTTTTTGTACCTAGCAGTTTCACAGCACGCAGTCAATGCAGTGTTGGTCAAAGCGGAAGGAATCCAACACCTGCCCATCTTTTATGTTAGCAAAACCTTGCTGGGCATAGAAACCAGGTATCTACCATTGAAAAAATTGGCCTTAGCCTTGATGATGGTCTCAAGGAAGCAGTAGCATTACTTCTACGCCTACACCAAAATCGTCCTAACAGCTTTTCCCTTAAAAGCCTTGTTTGAAATGGCGAACTTTTCTAGGCGAATCTTGAAATGGGCAGTGGAATTGGGACAGTCTGATATCAAGTTTCAACCCAGAACTGCAATAAAAGCCCAAGCTTTGGCAGACTTTGTGGCAGAGTTCACACCAGGAAGTCATCACATCTGCCCAATTGACTTGACTGGTACAACCGAAATAGGAACGGAAAGTACCGCAGGAAATACGCAACCCCTAATACAAGACTTTGCCCAACCCCATTACAAACCACACAGACTTGAGGATCAGAAGGAAGGAATAAGCCATGCCATTCCTAGTAAGGACTCATCAGCAAGTAAAAACATGGACTTGGAAGAAAACATCAGCAACACTCATGACCCCAAGACATCATCCGACCCCTCCACTTGCTGGAAGCTATTCGTTGGAGAGATGTGGAAGCTCTTCGTGGATAGACCATCCAATAGGCACAGTGCATGACTTGGCATAGTCCTCATCTCACCAGATGGCCCGATAGTGGAACAAGCAGTCAACCTTGGCTTCCCAGCATCAAATAATGAGGCAGAATATGAAGTACTTCTAGCAGGCCTAAAATCAGCACTCTTCATGAAGGCCACCGAGCTAAGGGTCTACAATGATTCCCAGCTGGTAGTAAACCGGATTTCAAGTTACTACAAGGCAAAATATGAGAGGATGGCTAAGTACCAAGAGTTAGTCAGAAAAGAGATCATCCTTTTGCTTGGCCGAGATGAGGCAGCCTATGTAGATGGAAGGGCAACAACTGCATCGCGTGGCTAGCTAGTCGGTGGTAGCTCGGTCTATACCTTGGTGTTAGAAGCAAAGGCTTGCTTTGTGATGAGGGCATGAACAACTCGTCTTTTTTCCATCTGTTGTTCTTCAGTGAGAGGAATTAGGTTGATTTGAGGGAGGTTGGGATCAGGTTTAGGAGAGGACTCAAGCAAGAAGTCTGTAACTCTGCTCTTCTTCTTGCTGTTGTAGAGGTAGGTCGGTTCAATGCCTCATAGCTTAGTCCAGTCTCAATGACGGTACCGCAGGACGGCTTGTAGTGCAGCTTGATTGGCGTAGGCGTAATTTGCTTTCAACCGGTTCAGATTTGGAAAAAGAAAAAAGGTCAATACAGTTGAGGAAAATTACAGGTTTTAGCACAAGAAAAAGAACCGAGCTATCCTTAGCAAGTGTCCCTTTATTCCAGTTGATGTTATAACCTGGTATTTGGGCCTCTTGGTCTTCAAAGTTGCTAGAGACCTAGAGAAAATCGTCATTGTTCAAATCTTTATCTAGTGTGCACTTGACGATTTTCTCTCAACCCTTTCTGACTCTGAGGTAATGAACCCAATCGTCATCATTTTGGCTGAGCGAGTATTGGTGAAATAGCTTGGCCAATCCAAGGTTAAGGTCGAGACAACGATTTAGCTCGGCAATCCCATCTATTATTCTATAAGTGTTGATGGATAATTGGGTAGGGCATAGTCTGGTTTGCCTAAAGAACTCGCAGATGAGGGGTTGGACTGGGAACCGAAGTCCACCCTCTACGATGGACAGCATAGAGAAGGGAACGAATCTAGGCTTGCCTCATGGCGTGGTGTCTAGTTCGGCTAGCGAGAGATGGACGTTGTCTGGAATATGGTAATCCTTTCGAAGCTCAGTTATGGCCCCGGGTGAGTTTACTAAGAATCGATATTTTCCCATGTGGACTTAAGTTTTGTAGAAATTAGCTCGGAGTACTAGCTCGGTGTGGAGATGACGTTGAGTATCTCGGTTGAGCATTCAAGAGAGTGCCTGGCCAACCTAGTCAGAGTCTGCAAAGTGGAGATGAAAAGTGTTAAGCCCAGATCGTTGGACCGTGCTAAGTATAAAGGCAAAAATAAATGTAAACCTAGCTCGGTTACGTAGGATACTATCCGTTCTTAGTTTGGTTGGAGCGAAGGACTTTAGCTCGGCTAAATGAAACGAAAGGTACTTAGTCCGGCTGAAACTTAAGGTGTGGCGTGAAGTTTTAGTTCGGTTATTAGGAGGGTTATCTAGTTTGGCTGAGTGCACACCTAACTACAAACAAGTTCCTAGTTCAGTTAAAGTATTATTTTGGATCAAAACGATTTTCATAACAAATTGTGAATTTGGTGAAAGATCTACCACATGGTTTCTGGGACTAAGAGGTTCATCCCCATTGTTATGAGAACTATATTAATATGTGTTTTGAAGAACATACATATATTATGCTATGTATTGCTACACTATACAGAATAAACGAAAAGGAAACAAGATTAGAGTACTTACAGCTTTAAGATCAAGGGATGAAGATCCAAACGGTGAAGATGCTAGGTTAGAGCACAAATGTTGCAGGTGCTGTGGTTGTGAAAATGGAGGTTCAGAGGAAGAAAGTGAAGGTGAACAGTAGAACTGCCGAGTTCAAAAACTAAGGTTTTTGTATAAGGCAAAGAAAAAGCGGAACTGTTCAAAATTTTCGGAGTACGAGGGCGGCGTTGACAGTTGTACTCAACCAATAGGGGCCAGCCACGTCTCTATGGGAATAGCAAGCGATTCCGATGTACAGCGTGACTGAAGAGACGGTTTTTTACCGGACAAATCAGTAGCCCGGTGACAATTTAGCTCGGTTGAAGGTCTGAAGTTTTAGCTCGGCTAGTAACAAATAATCTCAATCATGCTACGCAGATGGAATTAAAGGGCAATTGAGAGGGAGTTTTTTTTAGCATTAGGGCCGAGCTAGGCCCAGGCGTAGTAATAGGTCATTTTATGGGCCATGGTGAAAAGGGTTTAGTGAGTGGACCTTAGTGTTAGCTCGGTCCAAGAATGGTTACAGTCACCACGGTCAGAGTGGTGATAATTAGCTCGGTCATAGTATTCGGAGCCGAGGTATTTGGGCTTCTTATGGTGGACCTTGCTCTTGTTATCTCGGTCAAAACTTGATGTAGTTAGCTCGGTCTCAATAGACAAAACTGAGGTACAAGTGAACAAGAGCCGAGCTATGTGTTACATGTGAAGGCACTGGATTGAGTATGACAAAGGGCTAGTGTTAGCTCAGTCATACTGTTATCCAACCAAGGTAAAACCATCTCATTTGGTTTAAGCAGTGGGAGAGGGTGAAGGATAAGCATTATCTTTCAGAAGTGTGATTTCTAGGAGGACTCTACATGGGAGAATTAGAGTCCTACTAGGATTGTATCAGGCAAAAGCTATGAAAGCTCATAGCAAGACCTATGGACAGGTAACACAACTTTCATTCTCGAATATACAGAACCTTTGTCTATTTGTCTATTTTGCTGACTTAGGCATCAGAGAGGCATTCGGCACACACCCGCCGGCTAGGTCACGTTTGTGTTTTTAGGGAGTAAAGCGACGACGTTAAGAAGAGTGCAAACTTGATCAACAGGATAATACGAGAAGATTAATTCGTGCTCGTACAGTTAGGACTCCCTTTTTTCTTGAACCCCGCCACCCCTAATGAATTGAGATTGGTCAATTTTTTGCTTATTTGTTTTGTTTTTTTTTCTATCACTCATTAACATGTGCCTATGGGGATTATAAGAGTCAAGAAAAAAGGGAGTCTCTATTATTTCTACCTATGAAAATATAATAATTTTATAGAAATAGCATTGAAATTATAACAAGAGTAATATTATCGAGCTCCGAAAAATGGAGTCAGTCAAATAAGACAAACTCAATAAATAAATAAATAAATAAATGTATACTACTTCCTGTTGCTTTCTCAAAATTCAATATAATATCATGAAATAATAATCACAACATTACACACAAAAATAAATAAATAAATAAATAAAATCACAGCATCACACCATGTAAAAATTATGATACTGTCCTCATCGCACAATGAATATAATTTTCCTGTATCACCTCCGTTAGATCAACGTAAACAGCTCGCGACACTTGCTAACGCATCATCTCTCTAATTTGGGTCTTTGTTACTATGATTCGTACTCTTCTTTCTTCCCTCAGCATCTCTCTGATTTGGGTCTTCGTTTCTTGGAATTCTTGGATTTAGGTGTTCATGGAAGGCACTTGTCCAGGGATTTTCTGCCTCTGTTTTCGATCAAAAAAATCTAGTTAATCTTAATCATACCTACATGGATTTTCCATTTCTCTCTCGAGCTTCAAAACCCATTTATAAATCTGATTCTTCATCATCTTCTGATGTGAATTCGGTGAGCCATGCTTCTTCCGAAGAAGGTGCTTTCTCTGATGCCACTCTCAAGTTTATCAACCAGATGCTTATGGAAGAAGACGATTTGGAGGATAAGCCTTGTATGTTCCGAGAGTGCCTGGCTCTCCAAGCTACTGAGAAATCTTTCTATGATGCTCTTGGAGAGAAGTACCCACCTCCCTCCTCGAATGCAGACCATGTGTTCGACCTTAATCCCAGCCCAGATGATCACTCTCCCGATGGTGAAAGCAGTGACAGCCCTGGTTCTGTCAACTACTTCGTCGAGCCCAATTGGGTTCGTGATCAAGAGAAACTTGAAAGAAGCTCTTCCGATTTTGGCACCACCTTTGACCCCGTTTCGCAATCAATCGGCTCTTCCAATGGTTCTGGTGATGGCTCAGTCGACACTCTTGTTAATCAGAGCCAACCCTTCTGGTTGTCGAGTGGAGGGAACACAAAAGTTGCGGAGTTGGTCTCAAATAAAAAAATTGTAAACTATGGTCTGGAGATGAAGGAGAAGAACTCGAAGGTTGTGGCGCAGGAAGAGAAGAATAGGAGGGACCATTCACCAAATGGGTCAAGGGAGAAGAAAACTCATCATCGAGGAAATGGCGATAATGCAGATGATGATCGGACTAACAAGCAATTGGCAAGTTATACTGATGATTCTGATGAGCAATTAAAGATGTTTAATATTGTGTTTCTCAGTTCTGATTTGCATCAGGGGTCCAGGTTATGTCTTCATCATGATGACAATGATTCAGCCAAGAAGTTGCAGCAGAGCGGACCATCGAAAGGTTCAAATGGAGGAAAGGGACGCGGTAGGAAACAAGGCAACAAAAAGGAAATGTTTGATTTGCAGACTCTCCTAACTCAGTGTTCACAAGCCATTGCACGAGCTGATGTTAGGAGTGTTAATGAACAGCTTAACCGAATCAGACAACACTCTTCTGCTCAAGGTGATGGCATCGAAAGATTGGCCCATTACTTTGCTAATGCCCTCGAGGCTCGTTTGGCTGGCACTGGGACAGCATTGTATGTTCCTTCATCTACCATGAGGATATCGGCTGCTGATGTCTTGAAATCTTACGAGACATATGTCAAAGCATGCCCTTTCAACAAAATGTCCAATTTGTATGCGAATAGATCGATTATGAAGCTCGCTCAGACAGCAACGACGCTTCACATAATCCATTTTGGTATTCTATATGGGTTCCAATGGGCCTGCCTTATCCACCATCTCTCTGCCAGACCCGGTGGGCCTCCTAAGCTTCGCATTACAGGAATAGACTTTCCCCAACCCGGGTTTCACCCAGCAGAGAGGGTTGAGCAAACGGGGCGTAGATTGGAAACATATTGCAAGAGATTTAATGTACAATTTGAGTACACTGCAATAGCCAAGAAATGGGAAACTATTGAACTTGACGAACTCAAGATCGATAGAGACGAGGTGCTTGTTGTTAATTGCTTGTTTCGGCTTGGGAATGTACCCGATGAGACAGTTCTAGCGAACAACCCACGCGATATTGTTCTCAACTTGGTTCAGAGGATCAAACCAGATATGTTCATTCACGGAGTTGTGAATGGGATGTACAATGCGCCCTTCTTTGTGGCTCGATTCAGGGAGGCTCTTTTCCACTTCTCTTCAATATTCGATATGTTTGAGGCTACTATACCGCGTGAAGATGGAGATCGGGTGATGCTTGAGAAAGAGATTTATGGAAGGGATATAATGAATGTCATAGCATGCGAGGGTACTGAGAGAGTTGAAAGGCCTGAAACGTACAAGCAGTGGCAAATTAGGACCCTGAGAGCGGGGTTCAAGCAGCTACCACTGAACCAGGATCTTGTGAAGCTTGTAAGGTCCATAGTCAAGGTTCATTACCACAAGGATTTCGTGGTGGACGAGGATGGAAACTGGATGCTGCAAGGATGGAAGGGTCGTATCCTCTATGCTCTTTCCTGTTGGAAGCCTATCGAGGACTAACTTATAAAAATGCATTCTGTTGAAGAGTCTGTCACTGCGAGTGGCATCAATCCTCTTAGCAAAACTCAGCTTTTATTGTATGGGGGTTACAAAGAAGGAACTAAAGTGGGTTATCGTTGGGATTCGAAGTAAATTTAAAACCCTGCTAGCTGTATATTTTGGGTATGTACTTGATATCTTGCCTTCATTGGCAACTTCTATGAAGCATTTGCCATGCACAGTGCAGTCTCATTTTTTTACTTGTTTTATCTCTTAGTATTACTTTATTTTGTACGATGTTGGACTTTGTTTATTTTGTATCATCGAGTTGTATGTTATTTGGCCTTGCAAGTTGCAGAAGTTTTTCAACTTAACGGCCATTGTTTTGCTGTTAAATCACACATCGAATCACGGCTAGTTTTGTTAAAATAGTAAAGGGTGAATCATATGGAATCTTGAATTGGAAGATTCATTCCATTTATTTTGTATGATGTTGAAGCATGGACTACTTCCTGATGCATACAGCTACAATATTTTTATTCATGGGTTATGCATAAGTTTTCAGATGCAGAAAATATAGATGGAACAATCAGTAAAACAGGGGCAGAGAAGATTGCCGGAGTTGAACTTCGCAGGATGGTCTTCTAGGGCAAAGAAGATCACCGGAGATGCACTTCGTGGGATGGTCTTTTAAGGCGGAGAAGATTGTCGGAGTTTTGTCTAAAAAAATGAGTGTTTTGGACCAAAACAATGCAAGGCTTTGTGGGATGAGAACCAGTAGTAAAGAAAAAAAAATAACCAGTTGAAAAGATATTCAATTTTTCTAATAAAATTATTTAATGGTTTAGATTAATTTATATATATCTAATGATTTAAAAGTAAGGTGTATATGATGAGCACAATTTAACCACATGCACATCCTAACAACCCCCCGTTTTTTATTTCCGCATTTAATTCATTTTTTTAATGGTGCATTTAATTTATCTCTTTACGTCTTAAAAAAATGGTAGGGAGAGAGAGAAGAGTTTGGTTTGGTTTGACTGTTTCACCATCCGTATGTCATAATATAATGTAGTTTAGCCATTTTATGTGTGCATATTCTTATAAATAAAGTGTTTTAGAGTGTTAATCTTTGGGTAAAGAAAATTCAGAATTGAACTTTTTGACCGAATGCCCTTTTTTATTTTATTTTATATGGTGCATTTAATTTATCTCCTTACTTCTTAAAAAAAATGGTATATACCATAAAAGAATTCATATAAAATATATAAAAAAAAATTAATAAAAAATTTAGATGATACATAGCATCACTATATTTTATTAGCAATTTTTGTTGGGTTCATTCCACCATCTGTGCCTTGTGCTCATTATATCATTATTAACATGTAATATCACTATTTAATAATAACTATTATGTAATCATAGTGAGCCTCATTACCCAAATGTATACATCGAGTTGTGTTGATTGTACTTACATTTTTTTATTTTTTATTTTAGAACAATTAAAATTGCATATATATAAAGATAGAAGAACATAGATAGTCCTTGTACAGAGAATTGAACAAATATATAAAAACATCAAAAACTAATTCTAAAAATGCAAGAGCCAGTATCATCAGCATGTCCAAACGAAGATCAAGAATTTTTTACCAGCAATCTCATATTGCAAACCTCAGCAACAAATCCCTACAAAGATATCATAACACATCCAACAAACACATAAGTATAAGAATAAGAACAAATTACTAGATTAGATAGTTTTATGCTAAGGAGGTCAAAAAAGACTGGGGTTGCCGATGCTGTCTTCAATGCATGGCTCTCTCTTGCACTTGCGAAGATCAAGTTCATGGGGCTGAAGTCTTGGTGCCAGAATTCTCTTGGGCTTCCTACACGGAAATTCCCAACGTGCTCAAGAACTAGTGCTAGTAACTGAAGTCAAACCGCTCGAATTTTTTTAGAGCCTTTAACATGAAAAATCCCAACTTGCTCCGAGATCAGATCTAGTAGTTGTGCTTCATGTACCGTTGAGACTAGGGGTGATTGCGGATTGGATTGGGTCGGGTTGCATCACATCCGCCATCCGTTCAAAATTAGGCGGATTGAAAAAAGTCAATTCGCATCCGTCCACCAGTTTGGCAAATGCGAATTGAGCGAGTCGTGCAGATTGACGGATGGATGCGATCAGCTTGGCGGTTTGGACTTACAAATTTTGGAATCTTCAACCATGTCAACTAGTACATCTGACTTTCATTTACACTTGGACAACCGACAAAGCTCTAGCGATAAAGGAATCCGAATGTACTGCCATCATTAAGGAGCCCTATACAAGGAAGATTTGTTTAGATCCCACATCGATTAATTAACGTAACGCTTGACCATGTGCATATAAACTTCTTGGACACCCTCCCCTTCCAAGTTGGTTTTTAAGAGTGACTTGACTTCTACATAAGGTGTTTGTATAATTTATAACTCGTTTAGGGAGTTAACATTTTAGTTTAAAAATCAAAAAGTCACTAAAAAATGGGTAATTTATTTGCACCTTATGTTTTTTTAAACACCCTATGTTAAACATGATTTTTAAACATGTTAAACACCCACGGATAGACCAACTAGTAGACCTGACGGTAGGACACAATCGACTTAGCTTCCTTGATGCGTACAGAGGTTACCATCAGATCGCTATGTATGAACCAGATCAGAAGGTCATATCCTTTACAACGCCTAGAGGATTGTATTGTTACAAGGTCATGCCCTTTGGCTTAAAAAAAGCAGGGGCAACATTCCAACGGATGGTCACCAAGATGTTTGAACCATTGTTAGGCAGAACAATGGAGGCTTACATAGATAACATGGTGGTCAAAAGCAAGGATGAGAAGGACCATCTCAAGGACCTAGGTGAAATGTTCTAGATTCTGAAAAAGAACAAGTTGCGCCTAAATGCATCCAAGTATGCGTTCAGCGTAGGATCAGGTAAATTCCTAGGCTTTCTAGTGACCAACCGAGGTATAGAAGCAAACCCTTCTCAGATCAAAGCAATCCAGGATCTAGAGAGGCCCAACACAGTAAAAGAGGTGCAGCATCTAACTGGCCTAGCTGCCGCACTCAACCGGTTCATAAGTCGGTCATCAGACAGATGTCGACCATTCTTCCAAGCATTAAAGGCCAAATTTGAGTGGGATGAAGAATGCGATCGCGCCCTAGAAAGCCTAAAAAGAGTACATGTCTTCTCCACCATTACTAGTAACCCCAGTACCTGGAGAAGAGCTCTTTTTGTACCTAGCAGTTTCACAGCACGCAGTTAATGCAGTGTTGGTCAAAGCGGAAGGAATCCAACACCTGCCCATCTTTTATGTTAGCAAAACCTTGCTGGGCATAGAAACCAGGTACCTACCATTGAAAAAATTGGCCTTAGCCTTGATGATGGTCTCAAGGAAGCTGTCGCATTACTTCCACGCCTACACCATAATCGTCCTAACAGCTTTTCCCTTAAAAGCCTTGTTTGAAAGGGCGAACTTTTCTAGGCGAATCTTGAAATGGGCAGTGGAATTGGGACAGTCTGATATCAAGTTTCAACCCAGACCTGCAATAACAGCCCAAGCTTTGGCAGACTTTGTGGCTGAGTTCACACCAGGAAGTCATCACATCTGCCCAATTGACTTGACTAGTACAACCGAAATAGGAACGGAAAGTACCGCAGGAAATGCGCAACCCCTAATACAAGACTTTGCCCAACCCCATTACAAACCACATAGGCTTGAGGATCAGAAGGAAGGAATAAGCCATGCCATTCCTAGTAAGGACTCATCAGCAAGTAAAAACATGGACTTGGAAGAAAACATCAGCAACACTCATGACCCCAAGACATCATCCGACACCTCCACTTGCTGGAAGCTATTCGTTGGAGAGATGTGGAAGCTCTTCGTGGATAGACCATCCAATAGGCACAGTGCATGACTTGGCATAGTCCTCATCTCACCAGATGGCCCGATAGTGGAACAAGCAGTCAACCTTGGCTTCCCAGCATCAAATAATGAGGCAGAATATGAAGTACTTCTAGCAGGCCTAAAATCAGCACTCTTCATGAAGGCCACCGAGCTAATGGTCTACAATGATTCCCAACTAGTAGTAAACCGGATTTCAGGAGAGTACAAGGCAAAATATGAGAGGATGGCTAAGTACCAAGAGTTAGTCAGAAAAGAGATCATGAAATTCAAAGAAGTGCTGATAGAACAGATCGGCCGAGAAGAAAACAGTAGAGTAGACAAACTAGCAAGCTTTGCTTCGATGGCGGATACATCCATCCCACATCCATTACTGATCGACTACCTACCAAGACCAAGCATTGAAGAAACCGAAGTAGCTGAGGTATGTTGTGCTGAACTAGGCCCTTCATGGATGGATCTCATCATAGTATTCTTAAAAGACGGCATCTTACTCGAAGAGAAGAAAGAGACCAATAAAATAAGAGCAAAGTCACAGCGATTTTGGCTCTCCCCATCAATGGCCTTGTAAAAAAAATCCCTCACAGGGCCTTACCTGAAATGTGTTCATCTCAGCAAGGTCGAAGCATTCTTGTTCGAGATACATGAAGGCGTATGCGGAAGTCACCAAGGGGGAAGATCATTGGCATACAGAGCAATTTCACAAGGATATTGGTGGCCATACATGCAAGCAGATTCAGAAAAGTATGTCAAGAGATGCGAGAAATGCCAAAAGTTCGCACACCGAACACATCAACCGGCCAGAGAGCTTCTACCATTAACTAGCCCATGGTCCTTCGTAATATGGGGCATGGACATAGTAGGACCACTTCCAACAGCACCCGGCAACAGAAAGTTCTTTCTTGCAGCAACAGAAAGTTCTTTCTTGCAGCAACAGACTACTTTACAAAATGGTTGGAAACAGAAGCACTCGCCTCAATAAAAGAGAAAGATGTGAAGAAGTTCGTCTGGCAGAATATCATCACTCTGTTCGGCATACCTAAGCCTCTAATATCTAACAACGGCACTCAGTTCGATGGCAAAATTTTTAAAGGCTTTTGTGAGGTGTACAAGATAGAATTCTACAATTCTACACTAGCATACCCCCAAGCAAATGGCCAGGTGGAAGCATCAAACAAAGTCGTCTTGGATGGATTGATGAAAAGGCTAGGGAAAACAAAAGGCAAGTAAGCTGAGGAGCTTCCTTATGTTTTATGGGCTTACCGTACCACACCTCGGCGGTCAACTGGAGAAACACCTTTTTCCTTGGCCTATAACATGGAAGCAGTAATCCCACAGAAAGTTGGCCTCCCAACTATTAGAAATGAAAATTTTGACCGAGACTTAAATGGAAAAGCCATAGCCTTGAAACTCGACCTTGCAGAAGAGAGAAAAGAAAGAGCACTTGTTCACATCACCTTATACCAGCAATAGTTATCCAGAAAATAT